TGGTATTCAGCAAAGAGGCTTATTTTATGACGGCGGAGGGCGGATTCTGGTTAAAATTGCGAGCGAGGAAATCGAAGGCTCCTGTTGCGCATGAATGCTTATCGAACGGACAGAGAGTTCAGGACGGAGATAAATTGTATCCATAATTTATAAGATTCACTTCAAGTATAACACCATAAAGAAGGTACTTTGTAAGTTATCGTTTTAGGCAAGTCTAGCCTCGTAGTTTTTCTTTTTTCTTTTTAAAAATTTGATATAAAAAAAAGAGTCAAAAACTCTCATTCCGTATATTGTAAAGGGCAAGTGTTGCAGTGTTTTTGCTTTAATAGATGCAATTATTTTTATATCAAATATCTGTTTATATTCGGACAAAATATGTTTTATAATCAATATGGTGTTATTTTGTTTATACAATTATTGTAATAATAATTACTGTAGTTAGTGTTTTTAGGAAACGCGAATTTATAATATGAATTTTGTTCTAATTAGCTTAGCTATATATGTATGTATACGCACACACAATATTTAAATTGTAAAAGAATTTTAAATATAAAAAAAACTATATTACATATAGTATTATATATATATATGTATATATAATACAAAATGTCCCAAAATCATCGCAACAATATCAAAATAGGTTATCATTTTTTGCAAATTTCTAATTTGTCCTATCATGTATCTTTGTAATTAAGCTCCAAATTAAAATTCTGTTAAAGTAAACTTGACTTAAAATTAACTAAGAAATGTAGTTTTGTTAATCTTTTAATTCCACATAATTTAATTTGTAAAAGGCTTTTCTCTCTTTTTCAATCTTATATTTCGCAAATTATTAATGACTCAACATATTTGCTAAGAAAAAATTGTCTCTAAATTAGTCAGAAAATCTGCTCTCAAAAGGATATCCGATAGTTTGATCAATTCTGCATAATACATAAACAAATTAATTTTTTTTAGTTTGTAATTATCCACTTAAATCAAACCTAAAGGTTATATAAAGTTTATTATTTCCTTTATTATGAAACATTACAAATGATTGTATTATTATCTGTCAAGTGCTATTATGTTTCTAAAGAAAATAACAATCTCTTTTCTCAGCATTTATTGACTGAGATAAGAGGCTATTATTTATTACACACTCTATTATTTTTTCTTAACGAAAAATACTATTCCATACATTGCATTTCGTACAAATGTTTTATAGGGAGATTTCATACATATTTAATACAGTATAACATCATAGTAACAAATTCTATCTGATGTGTTGCACGTGCTCATACAAAATGCATTGCCTAAGAGAGAGGACGTATATTTAATATTTGATATATAGCCTCATTTACTTCTATATATATAAACACTTATATAAATTTTATAAGAGAAATATTTATATCAAGAGATTTATTTTATTAACATTTCTCATAAACAATCGTATTTTTTGTTTGCATACACATTCAATAGCAATAATTTATGTAAATGTATTTACATATATAAAGCGTGAAGGATCAGTAGAAAACATATATTTATTTCTGCATGTATAATAACGAGGAGATAATTATTGCGATAATTATATTTCAAAAATTAAGATTCTCCCACAAATAAAATCTGCATAACGCTTAAGAGAGAGTTTTTATCTTATTGATATTGCAATATCTGTGTGACCGTTCAAGAAATTAATTTAATTTTTTAATCTTGTAATTTTCTCTATTATCATTATACAATCGAACAATTCACTTAGTACATGCAATATAATAAACAAGATACACAGTGGGATTCATGATATAAAAATTTTGTTACTTATTTGTTTAATTTTTCTTAAATCTTTTATTTTACAATAGTATATAATTTAATGATATTATATAATAATTTAAATTTTTACAAAAGTTAAATCAATTCCAGATTTTTGTAAGAAAAAACTTGTTCTTAAGACATTAAGCTTTCGTGAAAGCTTGTGATAAATGATGGTCTTTTCTGTCTTATCTTTAAAACAATTTTTTTATTTTAAGATATAAACGCATTTATTATTTTCTTACTAGACAAACCTTTCGCTCTAAGCAATTTGCAGTTTTGATTCGCAATGAACAATGTGTAATCCCCTGCCGTTTTCATCATAATTTTGTGTACATAGTTAATGGTAAATTTATAAAACATATATAATTTCTACATACTTGATTTTATAAATCCTCTAACTCTAAATGCAACTCTTGTAGAAATAATCCTCCGGTCCAATAGCATTTCAACTATTTTATGCTTAATTAAGACTTACATAAAAATTTAAAAAAAAAATTTTCTCTGGCGGATGATTGATTTTGTTTGAGATGTACCTTTGAAATGCAAAAAAAAGAATATAAAGAAATCATTAATTACTTTGAATATATTTATAAACAAATATTCAGATCGGCAAAATGTATCGAAATTCAAATTATATAAATTACATTATTTTCATATATAAGAGTTCATTTATCAATGAAAACAACAAAAAATTTTGTTAATATTAATTGACACCTTTTATATTTTCTAAAGACATGACTGTTAGTTTATTATAATAAAACAAGTCTTTCTCTATTCAATTAAAAGAGAGAGGGAAAGCAAAAAATATATATTATATATGATCTATTTCTAAATTGAATAACATTAAGTAAAGTTCACGTATATTAAATGAAAAATGCCGTTTTTAAGTGCTAGAAATAGTTTTGATCACAAAGATAATATAAAAGTATTGGTATTCCAAACATTACGAATATTCAATAATTGAATGTACATAGAATGAAAAAAGCGCAATGCACAAGAATTTTGCTCCGAATACCAGAATACAAATAAGACGATGCGATGGTTCCATTAGAAGCGCATTTCGATTCTTTTCTTCAATTTTCTGTTAGAAAAGTAATAACTATGGAAATCTTATCCATTTTTTGTTCAAAATGTCTCTCAGAAAATGCGTGTGTGAGATTTATTCCAAAATATTAAATTTATCTAAAAGTGCTTATGAATAACGTATTTAAATAATTTAATCATTTTATATTTATGCATTCTAATATATTAAAAATGTAAAAAAAAATAGGAACTAATAAGCACACTATATCTCTTATCAGACATTAAAAAAAGCGAAACATCTTTCCTCCTATTCGTTTTCAATATCCACATATTGGTCATATAGAACATGTAAACTTGGTTACATTTTGCCGAGAAAATCCAATTTTCACGCAAATCTAATTAGTAAATAAAAATAAATTACTACTATTAAATACTAATTCTATGGTTAAGTCGCATTGCGTTTTTTTTTTTCGTCTTCAATTCGTGTTACTGATAATGTGACAACTGCGCGCACTACAATCGATATAATGATTATATTTTACTTGATAAAAGATATATTAAAAAGTTTAGTGACGCTAAGCGTTTACTTTTTTTACTGATACTTAAATTTATCATTTAACTTCACTTGCTTGCAGATAGTAACTTTGAAAATAACAGCACGTGTCCTTTGTCAAAGAAATGACGGCACGAAGAATGCCGCGTCCTACATTCTTTGATTTATGTTTAACGTTTTGTATTTTGTAAAATACGACGCAGTAACAATATTGTGACAATTTACACAACGACGAACACGGCGTTAAAACGAACTAAAGAAAGAAATTTTTATTGCAATCTACTATACAAAAATAAAAAATAAGTTTAAATGTATTAATTTTCTTAAATTTTTATTTTTAAGAAGATTAATACATTATTGCGTGTATTCGATGTTTATCGCGCAAGACTCACGATTTACATACAAGACATTAAAATGTTGTACCCGAAATCGATCATATTTGTAGCATTCACAATAAATAATAAAACATAATAATAAAATAAATATAAAAATCATAAAAAATCATATAATACATAAATAATAAAAAATCTTAAGTAGAATTATTAAAATATGAAAAAAATTTCTGGAGAATTCCAGCAAGGCGGAAATATAAAAATGTTTATTTTACAGATCTATAAACAAAATAAAATTATTAATTTATATTTAGTTTTAATTATTATTCATTTATCTGAATATGTGTAAATATAATAATATATATAAATTTATCTCGTAAAAAGAGTTATAATATTTTTTGTAATGATCAAATACCACTTTTTTTTAAACAATTGCAACAATATATATTTTTTACTTGGTCAGCTCAATAAAATAATGCCTTTGATAAAGTAATAACTTTATTTCCTTGAAATTGTCTCTATATGCGTTATAAACTAAATAAGTATTTTATGTTGTTTCTAATATTAATTCCCAACAAGAAGCGACAGTTTCAAAATTTATTTGCTATCCTCAAATAACATTCAAACCTCAAATAACTTTCAATCTCGTCTAAATACGGCAATCTCAATCTCTTCAACCTTCAATTTCGCATCAAGAGATTTGTAATGTAATTAAATATACGCAAGAGAGAAGTGTACCGACAAACATCATAACATCGAAATCGATAACAGGGTACTGGATAATTTTACTCAAAATTATAATCAAAATATGCAACTCACATTTATGTGAAAAATTATTTATTCATATATATACACACTGTTTCAAAATCACATTTTTTTACTCATCAGCAAATTTTTGGATAAATTTAGGAAAATGATTTTTCCTTAGAATGAGAGTTCAGATATATATATATATATATTATAAATAATTCTCCATTTTATATATGTGTGTATATATACGTAAAATGCGCTTCAATAGTGATCATATGAGAAAAAAAAAAAATCCTTCAACAAAATATTTTTTTAATTATTTCTTTGTTTATTGTTTTATAAAAGATATATGATATTTTATAAAAGAACCTATAAAAGAGATCTCAAATTATGCATAAAAACTTTCCAAACGTCTCGATAGTTCCAAGCTGCATACATAATTAAATCATGAATCAAACATCAACATGAAGAAAAATGGAAATGTTTATCAATCATTAAAAATTGAATGCAACAATCTAATATTTTGGATTATTATTATGAAATTTGTGTTTGCAGAGATCAAATTACTCTTATCTCTCGATATATCGGATAACGGATGAATTCAAATGCTGAAGCAATGTATATATTTATTATTTATGTTTGTTGCATTATAATATGTAATTTATTTAAACACAGATGATAATAATAGCGGTATTAAAATGATATCGGAGCGTATTTATAATTGTAAACACTATATTTTCGTTCTTAATTATGTTACTAAATAAAAGTACAATAACTTAATTTAACTTGTTTATAGCCAAATTAAAATACGTAACGTTAAAAGGGATAAATAAATCAATATCAAGATACGAAAGTATAGATATATTTCAAATAGAAAATTTATTTTTTGTAGTAAATATTCTTTTCTTTTTTTTTTTTGTTCTACTCAGATGCACAAAAAGATTCTTATTCAAAAACGAAGCAAAGACGAGCAAACCTCTAAAGGATTTTTTTTTTAGTTTATCGATGCCCTATACACTCCCAAAGTTTTGACATTTAATTTCGGGACATCCTGTATATATATATACATGGTATATTCTTATTTTCCCATAAATATTTTCTTGAAACATATTTTATGGATATGTTTCTCTCGCGTGGATTACAATAATGTGTCTAGCTCGTAATAGATATATCTCGAGATTTATGTCGCAATCTTTCCCGCCCCTATATCCACCCACCAGGGGCGATATCAATGACCGGGCAAAAGGCAGATTCCGCGCGATTCATAATGTGTCGATAACACACCCAAGAGCGATTATAAACAGCAAGCATAGCAGGAAGCGCCGGCAATGCACACACGTCGATCCGTAAAGATGAATGGCGGTTAGTTATGTAAGCCGCGGGAGTATTTATACGTTGGTCGAAAATAGTCGGCGAACCGCATTCGAAGAAGCGGTACGTTCCTCTGATACCACCATATAGATATCGACACACTTTTTATATCGGGGCGACGATATTGGATAGAAATAAAAATTTCAAAGCTTGAATTTTATAAGAAGTTGACTTTTTAAATATGTTTATTCTTGTCTAAACAACAATTTAAACATAATTCGACATCTTCATATTTTTGAAATTTCCCCGTTCGATAATATCTTGTTATACTTATATCAATTATAAAGAGCAATAATCGATATTGATTCTCATTGTCAGTCGAAGCGTGTCCCATATATTTTCAATATAAATCAATTTTTGTCTGTTTTTTTTTTCTTCTTTCTGTGGTACTTTTTAGAAATCGTGAGAGTGGATATACTATTTCCAGATTTGTTGATGTTTCCGATTATATGTGCTCGTTTCGATGCTCTACTCATGCCAACATCATACACGATCGATCGCAAGGAGAAAACTCAATATTTCAATGTTTACTTCTAAGGATTTATGACAACATACGTAAGAAAAAATATTTCTAATCGATATCGCGAGTACTATATATTCCAAGACCCCAAAATTTTCAAAAGTAATAAACCTGGAGAAAAAATATGACAAACGAAATAATACCAGCGTCAACATTTTTGTTGCATAAATTGGGTCAAATTTCGAAATCACGAATCGTTAATCACTTAACGATTAAATATAATAGAAAAGCTCCAAAGATAGTAAACAAAAACTAGAAAGGACAAAAGAAGCAATTAACGGATGTCAGTAAGATATAATCTGATTTAAAAAACAAAAATCATGCAACACATAGTTCTTTAATAAATTAAAGAACTAAAGCATTATATATAAATTAACAAAATCTGGATTACAGAAGTCACAATTAGAATTAAAATTATAAAATATAAAGCGCATTTTGATAATAAGAAGATAATGAAGATTTATTTCGAGGATTCATTTCCCTTATGGGCTACTAAAATGTGCTTTATATTTTGTAATTTTAATTCTAATTATGACTTCTATAATTCAAATTTTATTAATTTATTATTATTTGAATCTGATTATATGTTACTGACATCCATTAATTGCTTGTCTTGCTCTTTCTGATTTTTGTTTACTTAACGATTAAATTCTGTTTCGATGATATCTTTACGCATATTAAAAATTTTTCAAAATTATAATAAAAATATACAATAATTGTATATTTATTTAATAGTTGTTCAGTAATAGCCTAACATATACGCAATAAATTTGTATATGAAAAATATTAACATAAAGCGTGCACGTGCTATTAACTATTTAATAGTATATATGTATTTATTTAGTAGTTATTCAGCAATATATATATCCCAGCATTCGCAATAATCTTGTATATGCAAACTCATCATAAAGCGTGCACATGTATTAACAATTTAATAGTTTCAATTACAAACAATATCCATATATATATATACAATTAAAACATATAAAGAGAGAGAGAAAGAGAGCAAAAAATATATTTTAAAATTTATTGAAGTTTAAGAGTTTTGATATATATAAAGAAGTTTACATATTGTTTCAATGTTTATTAAATGTTTTTGAATAAAATAAACCAAATTATTTAATTTTTTTATGTGTTCAGTTTACAAATTGTCATTTAATCTAAAAATTAATTAATTTTTTTAGAAACTAATTAAGATTATGTTGAAATAATATCAATATGTTAAAGAATTTTATTTTAAATGAAAATGTTTATACATATATAGTAACACATCTATATGAATATTTTAATTAGTTTAGAAAGAAATTAGTATACGCTCTACTTTAAAAAATTAGCGATAAAGCAATAAAAAATGTTTTATAATAAAAGTGCAAGTACAAGTGAAAATACTTCAATTAAAGCTCTTTGTAATATACAAAAAATACGAAACAAGATTCAGCATCGGAAGACAAAAATTAAATCTTTTCGTGAAAGGAAAGCCAATACGCAATAATGCAATCGAGAACCGAAATCTGTTCTCAATGGAAACTTACCGGGATTCGATTGAGATTGATATCGGCCTTCTCCCTGTTGACGCAATTAGTGGTGTAACCGGGCTGCTCCTGGTTGAATCGCCTGCCGAACTCGAGGAGATTTCTCATGATCATGGTATTCATCACGATGATGAGCACAAGTGGCACAATCAAGCTCGCTATGCTGTCGATAATGCTGATAATTCGCATGGTTTCCAGATACTCGATCCTCAAATCGCACACCTCGTCGCCGTCTTGGTTCCTTATCACCCCGGCGGTGATGAAGCAGTACGAGTGGCTGACCAGGGCGAAAAATGTCAGCACCAATATGATCGTTTTCGCGCGTGCCACGGTGCACATATGCGGCCGATGAAGCGGATATTGAACGGCGATGAATCTTTCAACGGTGAAGGCGACGATCAGCCAGACGCTGAGCGAACTACAAACCGCACTAACATACACCAATGTTTCGCACCAGCCGTCGTTGTTGAAGACCCTCCAGCCTACCGTACTGTTAAGCCACACCAGGAGCAGGGACATGAGAAAACCGAAATCGGCGGTGGCCAACGCGGCCAGGTAGTAGCTGGAGCTGCGCAGCTTTAGATGCGTTTTGAGAAAGACCACGCACGACAACAGGTTGCCCACCAAGCCCAACAGAATAATGGACGGTATATAATACAAGTGACAAAAGTCTAGGAGAAAGTATAGCTTGGTGCAGATCCCATCCAGTTCCTCGTCCATCTCGAAAATCGTCTCAAAGCTATGGTTATTTTGATAATCGTAGTTCGTCCAATTCGTCGGCGACGCCGATCTTCGGAATCGTGGTGACAGATTGTCAATCGTCGACGATATCTGATGATATCTCGAGACTCTGCTCGATAGTTCTTGAAACACGGTGAACATGGTTGCACTGTATGACGAGATCACATTAACGAACAAAGAAAATTCCCTTCGACAATTCTCTTCGTTGTTCCAGAAACTCCTGGACGCGATCAGCTGCGATGTGCATCAGCGCGTAATGCACGTCGCAATAATATTGGCCATTCTCCAGGCTCGTAGGTGTGACGATGTTGATACAGACCAGGCCAGTGTGGACTATAGAGTTTCACTGAACGCTCGAATCACGGGTGTACGATCGGCAAAATGATTGTCCGATGGAAATTCCCAGCTTTTTCCTCTCGTATAACGTATACCTTACGCTGATAAAACCTATTGAATGAGAATGCGTGTTTGACGAAGACTCGTTAAAATTGTCGACACGAACGCGACAGTATTCCGCGCACTCGAATCGCGCGTGATAAGCAACATTGTTGTTCGATAAAAGCTCTTCCTTTCTTTCCCCCAAGTACGGAATATCGCGCGATGCGAAAAAAAAATCTATTAGAGGTGAATGACGAGATATTGGCGGAGGCACTCTAAATTTGCGGTCAATAAATATATAAGCGATAAATTCTAAACAATATCGTAGATGTTCCAGAATCGAGTGTCTGGTACGCGTTGAAGTTTAGGCCTATTTTTATCGAGCTAGCTTATTCGAAATCAGTGTGCTCGAACTAAAAAGCTAACTTGATCCGACACGATCGGTTGCAAGCGCGGTCGCATTCCGCTGCGGAAAACGTTTGGATACTTTCCAACGTCGCCGACACGGCGTTTTAGCGTCCGGTATTGAGCGCAGGATTGCAGCGTTTAAACATTCGGACATTCGTGTTTGTTCGACACAAATTTTTTTCTCCTGTCCAAACGTCCGTTTAAACGGGTGACACAACCGTTTACATTTTCAGTCTGATTACATTCAATTTAATTACGTTTGCCAAAGGAATGCAGCCGAACAGAGGAATGTTACCACACTCGATCGATACAATTTCGCCTAATGCGTCCACATTCGCGCATTATTTAATCAATTTTTCCCGGATTCTATAGTAATTTACGTTTATTTTACTCTATGATAACACGCGTGTTAATTCAATTTCGAGGAAATCGCGAATCCATTATATTCGTCATTCATTTGTATTTGAATTATTCAATTGTGGTTCAATGATAATGCCCGAATAATAGAAAATGAAGTTTTGATGAAATCCGTATTATACCGTGTCCATAAGATAAACGAATTTGCGGGTTCATTAAATAATTCACGATTGGAGAAATATAAGACAATTGCTATCTATATACACGCTATTTTGTATGATATAAGATATTTTCTGATAAGAATCTTTACGCTATCATCATCGGCGCGTTGAAATGTTTCGTGTTAATGAAAATAACTCGCAATTAAATAGGGAGATGCAAGACAATTGCTTTCTATTTTGTATAATATAATACATTCTCTGAAGAGAACCTCCACGCTAACATCAATTGGCGTGTCGAAGTGTTTCGTGTTAACGAGAACAAAATCGATACGTATATTGTTCTTATTGTTAGCCGCAATTCCGTTCAAATTCCCGTGTTTATTTCATTAACATGAAAACGAGAAAACGCGTTTATACTTAATAGCTTCCTGTAATGGATTTCTTAATTGTATTTCTTAATGGTCCATTTTTCTCCGATTATTTTCGCGTCTGACTGATTGCAAATCGAGCTGAGCCGCGCATTAAAAGTCGATTTATTGATTCGACAGCTTGCAGTACATTTAAGCCGGCGAGATAAATGCGGAAGCGTAGCGGGATTGATAAACAGCGCGCGCGTTTCCGCAAGAATGCGATTTCATCGTACACGGCTTACATTCGTTGCATTCGCTCAACCTTGACTCGAATAGCTTCCGAATCTCTAAAGCGTATCTACAGTTTGGCTGATTCAGCGATCATAATCTAGCGCAGGAGGTTTTCAGATATCTCGCGTGTTAAAGAGAAGAGCCACCGATACTTATTTACGCATTTTTTTCTCTTTTTTTTTTTTTTTTTTTTTTTTTTTTTTTTTTTTTTTTTTTTTTTTTTTTTTTTTTTTTTTTTTTTTTTTTGAATTACCTCTTTGTATGTATTCGGAGTGCTAGATCGCTTATTAAATTATCAAACGCGCCGACTTACCGTTTAATTAAATTGCACAGTCACTGGCTCGCACTTCACAATTTCATTAAGTTTGCTCGCGCAACGCGCCTCGTTGAATAATTCTTAAACAAGAACCTTCGTTCGAGAAATGTATTATATAATACACTACAAGTGGCGCATTTAATTGTCACATCTCGCAGGAAATAAAATTATACGTATTATTCACACGTATTTTCCACGCGCACTTTTTTCATTAATTCTGTTTTTTCCCATCTTTTCGCTTGTCACTACGCGCAGAGATTTCAAGCGAAGATTGGAAACAAAATGTAACTTCTTGATATAACGATATTGTACAGCATTCTAGCAATTATGTTCCAAGCTTTTCATTCTCTTAATCTGACAATGTATCTTTTATCCGGTGTAAAACAAAAAGAAAAACTGTTTGGTTTCTTCAATTAAATCTCTTTAGAATAAATAATCCTTTAATCTCGTTGAAGCACCAATTTCTTATGCTCGACAATCTGTGAAACTGTAACACTCGATTAAAACATCCTCGAAAGATTTTCAATCGTCGAACTTGTACACTGATTGTAATTGAAAAGTACAATGTATTCTGCAATTTCCATTGAAATTGAACCGGGATTGCAGAGAGAATTTTTTTTGTCGGTTTTATGGATGTGATAATGAAACTGTCAAAAATGTTTTTTTCAAATAAAAAGCACTTCAGAATTTTCGTACGATTCGACGAGTGACGAAAATATAGTACGTATGATTTGCAATCTTAATTTAAATTCAATCATCCAGCAGAACGTCCAGAAATTTTCTGACGATTCCGTCTCTTCGATAATCGAGCTGTAACATGAGTTTTGAAATTTTGAATACGATTCACGATCTAAACGTCATGTGAGAAAAAATATATTTCACGATATATATATATATATTTAAATAGGATCGCCACACACACAAACGCGTATATAGGAAAATGTGCGCGTCGTGCGGTGAGAAACGTCGTCGGGTAAACTGGGAGCACGGGCTTCTATGAGAACGCATCTGTCCCAAGCCAAAAAGTTCCGCCGCATGCGCCTTGCCGAGGATCCTGCCGGCGTCTCGGACGCCGCCGACGTCGACGACGCCGGCGTCATTGGGCTTCTTCACATCGTTCTACGTCTCACGGCTTCGAAAAGCGATTGCGAAGAAAAGGGCTTGTCTTTTTTTCGTTCCGCAAAAATAGAATGAAGATTACAAGAAAAGGAACATCTTTTTCTCGTCCTCCAGAAATGAATAGAATGAAGGATAGACGTGTCGTCGGATTTTTTACGCAGAAATTTATTATTAAAAAAGGAATAATAATTAATATCTAAGATTTAAGTTATTTATAATATCCAATATATTTATACTGCGACATATATTAATATGCATTTTCTATGCAAAATGTATGTAAAATAATATGCATTATATATGCAAAATATATGTCAAAATATATATCAAAATATGTATCAAATCAGATAATCTTAAAAAAGATTATCTTCTATATTAATAACATTTATCTATGTCACTACGTGAAAATTATTTATCTCTGGAACTAAATAAATACATTTTTAAGTGTTTCTTTAGTTTACTTATATTGATACAATTAATACAATTAACATAATTATTTTGAAAATTTATATATTTATAAAAAAGTTTATGGGAAGAATATTATAAATTACACAAAATAAATTACAATTCTTAAAATAAATGTTATTTAAAAATTATAATTTAAATTACAATGAACAATAATATATTTTTAAGATCGTATTTTAGAGATTGTAAATTTGTGACGTTTGTCTGACAAAAAAATTATCTTATATGCAGAAAATGAATTGGAAAATAAAAAGGGAACGCTAACTTTATAATATAAAATACATATAATTGTTTAAAATATATAAATACATGAAAATATGCAAAAAATACGCAAATATGCACAAACATGTAAATATGCGCAATATACACAGTTAAATATGCATTTCTAGAATGCCTTTTTGATAAGATAAATTTCTATTTTGGTCTTACTTTCCAATCTGCTTTCTAAAAAAATATGCAGTTACATAAAAATCCGATGTGATTTATCACACATTTTGATGAAATACAAACAACTTTGTTATCAATAATATATTGATTTATTAAATTTGTTACTAGGAGATTTTTTCGACATACAACGTATTTTTATATCAGGTATTACACATTTTTTCAAGTTATTTTGAAACACATGTCGTTTCGAGCATCAGAGTTTTGATTCGAGATATATTGATTTTTTTGAAGTCATATAGAAGAATCCATTGCACTATACATATTGTCGGGCTTCATCTTACGTTACCTTACATCTCTATAAATACGTCGTTTCGAACAAATGATTGTGAAGAAAGAGCATTGCGATCTCCTTTCCATCTTGCAACAATGGGATAAAAGAAATATCATAGCACTTTGAAGATTTCGAAGCATGAAATTTCCACAACAAATATAAAAAATTTATATATTATATTTTTATACGCACATTATATCAAGAAACTTATAAAATGCAAAATATTTTATATATTTTACAAGTTTTATTTATAAAAACAACTTAATCGAAGTTTAATTTAAAATGGATCGCTTTTTCGATAAAGTTACGAAAAAAAATCCATTATCTACGCGAAATTTTTTGCTGCCTTTATTATAGAAGATTCCGGTCGAATAACCTATTTGAATTAATTCTTTGTTGAATGACTAACAGACTTTTTTTCAAACAAGAGTATTGAAAGTTTGGTAGCTTTTACGTTATAAGCCAATAAAAATCCAATTAAATTTTAAAAGATGATATTGTCCCTTTTTATTTATAATATAATATTTAGCAAAGATCAGATATTGCGGCATAGAAATTAGAATAGAATCTATATTGTTGTATTTTTTGTATAGTTGACAAATTTAAGAAATTTCTTACTATTTTCCTTATCGCATATCATAAAACTTTCAATAATTAAAATACGGACATGTAATATATTCATGAAACAATAAATATGTTCGATATTGCGTGGGTTAGTATTATTATGTTAATGGACATGTATAAAAGATATGTTAAATTAATTGACATATGTCCAGATTCACAAATTTAAATAGCCGACAATGCGAAATATATTGTATGTTTATATTTACTTCGCTGATAGTAAACTAACTTTGAATTTTATAAATGAAAAACATTTATTACCTACCTTCCTGCGATGTTCTTGAAGAAAAAGGAAGAATACGAAACAATATTGTTTCGATTTTGATGACTACTTCTCACGCCGGAAATAAGTTTCTTTCAGACATGATAATTTCCTCACACATTTCGACTTTTAATTTCAAAAAGGATTCCAAAAACTTGGTAAAAACGTTCGCTTTTATTCATTATAATTTTTTTATGAATCTTAGAAGTATTTTAAAATATCATTGCGCATCAAAAAATATATTATAATTAAATAATTAAAGCTTACAATTAAAGATATATCTTTTATTTTAATACGCGCCGCACTTTTTCATTTCTTCGCTTCAAAATAATATTTAATTAATACTGTTTGTACTTGTTCGATACATACGCCTAACTCTGACCAATCTCAACTCAAATTTAATCATTTTCGCAATCAACTCTCCATCCTATGTTAGCTTTTGTACGCGTTGGCTTCATGTACTAACGCAATACTAATGTTACGTATTACGTTGAGAAACAACAATTTACTTGTTTCTATGCACATCGCAAATTGTATTTACTGATGAATAAATTAAATTTTATCAATACAAATATATATAGATAAGTGGATTTATACAAATGATATGTAGGATTAATATGTGTATAATAATCTGTAATAATATATAAAGGATTATACATAAATTTTCGATATAATGGTAATGCATATTAACCTTATTCACCTTTAATTCTTAAATATTCACACGTGCACGCGTGAAGTTAATTGTGCAATTCATGTAAATGTCTTTACCTATAATTATCTGTAAACTATCTGCAATTTATTTATTAACATTTAATATCTGGATAGTAAATTTTTTCGGAAAAGAAGTCTTATGTAAAATTTGTAAAAAAAACGTCTCTTTTGTAAAAAATAATCTACGAAAATGCTTTTATTTTTAATCATGAATTTCTTTTTAAAAATCAAAGAAGATTTTTTTTCTAAAAACTGATATATGGAAAGTTTTTGTAATTAATTAATCATTAATTAATTAGAAGAGAAAGCCTTTTTTAGAATTTAACATGAATTAAAAATTAACATGAACAGTACATTCAAAACAGACGAAAGTTCAAAACAAGCTTTGTGCTCCCGCAAAGAAATCCAATTAAAATACGAATTGGCGAGAACATTTGATTGCGATACATATGTTTTGTAGTTATTGTTTATTAAACACATCTATTCCCGGAATCTACATTTCACGTCTAAGATTGATTTATTTTTGAATGAATAAATTACAAATTAAACAAGAATAATGTATTTATCTTGTATATTTCTATGAAATAAATAAGTTAATGTAAATATATCAGATAATATATCTATTTTAATTTATTTCAGTGTTACGAAGTCTTAAAACACACGTGTACGAATCTAAAGGGTCAATCACAACCAAATGGCAAGCCATTCATAGCAGTTATCTTATATGTATTGAATCCAAAGGCTATAACAATGGGTCAACTGTATGGCGAATACGATCCCAACACACACGAATGGTAAGCGATATATCGTCGAAAGTATGCCAAAATCGCGAAAATGCAATATCACTGAATTTCATCTAAATGCAAATATATACGTGTCCTATGTTATATGCCAAAACTACGAATCTGCAATTCCTTGAATTCCAAAGATTTTTTGTTTCAATTTAAAAAATGAATTTTTTCTATGTTACTGAAAAACTTTAAGCGGATTTCTCAAAATGTTATAGCAGAATTGTGACATAATACTCAACAATATATGCATTTATTTTATATATCAAAAGTTTCACAACACACACATAAAAATCTATTCTTAAATTCTAATATTTAATATTTATTTAATTTGTATAATATATATTTAAAGTACTTTTTAAATTTGCGTTAAATCAAATACGGAATTGAGAGATTGTAATTGAGGATTTAATATTAAAACTATATATATTTATATAATTGAGAAATTTAATATTAAAACTATATATATTAGCTGTTGTAACGCACTCGATGTTTTAACACAAACAAACTCGATATTACTATTCGGTTGTTCGCTTCTAATTTACGATTAATTATGATAATTAATTCCATTAAGTGTATTAAACCTCGTGAACAAAAATATGTTTTCTAGTATTCTACATACGATTTTTTATCTCTTTTACAATTATCAAGCGCATTTTAATTTTCCTTTAATATAATTTGAAAATATATTTTTATAGATATCGTAGAGTACTAAAAATACAGAATATTGCATACTCTCTGTATCAAAAAGTTTACCTTGTGTATATAATTAATTAAAATATTCTCACTATGGAAACAAATGCATTACGTAAAGTGTCGAGATAATAATAAACTATTTTATTACCACCATTGAAATCTTATATTTGGACAAACATTTAATTCGTTTCTCTGTTATTACGTTCTGTGCTCTCGTATAAAAACTTTCAATGTATTTTAACGCGTAAATAAAACTAATAGCCCGTAATTAATCGTGTAACTCTTTCATTATATGTTTTAAACAACAATATGTGTATATGTGCATTTACAACATATATAGAAAAATATTTTGGATATATACATGTGTTTAATCTTCTTTGGACTTACACTTCTGGAAATAATATATATGCACCATATTTGAATTTTAATATCTAAAAAATTTCTTCTCATTTTAATAAAAAATAACAAAAATAAATAATTTATTATTATTAATAATTGTATTATAA